CATAAACCTCTCCAGTTCCAGCAAAGCCTGTCCCAGGGTATATCATTCAACAGCCTGCAGAGCTGCCCAAAGATAGAACAATGGGATTCACCTCAACTAGCCCAGCAACTAGCACTCAGCTGATAAACACTACTGTGAGGCAGAGCCCATGCATGAAAAGCCTTAAACCTAAGAAATTCTTATAGAACTGAACAAAAATTCTTGGTTTTATAATACCTTCCCAGGAAGTCGGAAAATAATTAGTTTTTAGTTAAAGAAACTGAATCTATGCTCAAGAACAATGTAATACCTCAAAAAGAAAAATCTAGAATGGAAAAACTACAAATTCAGTTTGCTAATCAATAGCTTATTCTGGCTAAATTATCATATTAAGTTAGTGCAATTTATTATTGCATTTAGAAGCACAGCCTACCTTGTTCTCATAAAATAAGGTATAGTGAAGTACATGAAAACAGTTCACAGAGATGCTAGCCCTTTAGCATTTTGTAACTTCAGAAGTGAAAAAGACAACGGCTGAACAGGATTTGACATTCAGATATTTACTTGCTCAGCACAAGGTGAGTTAGGAGACAGCTAAACATCAGATTCTGATTCACTTATAGTGGTCTCACGAATTTCCTATTTGGACACTGGTGATTCTGGACCTGGCTGCACACTTGAGTCATCTAGGAAGCTTTTAAAAAAAAATACCAAATGCCCAGACCAATGAAATCTGGAAGGTGGAAGCCAGAAATCAGTATTCTTTATGCTTCCCCAGGTGATTCTCATGCTCGGCCAGGAGGCAAACTATTGATGTATCCCTTTTAGAGAGCAACCATGAAAGCCATGTTGTAGTTTTGTTTTTTTTCTAAATTCCACCAGAAAAAAACTTTTTTTTTTTTTTTTTTTTTTTTTTTTAGAAAAAGGTACAGATGTGCTTCCTCTAAAGATGCAGCTTACTGTTTGAGAGGTGCTGGCTCTCAGGGGTTATCTGGAACGCTGGTTAAAGAGGAGGAAGTCCTCGTCTTGACAGAGCAGGCATAGTTTGAGGTTTCGGTAGCTGCCTCCGGCAACAAAGAATGCCCAGATACCCATGAACACCATGATCATATATGTTGACACCAGATTTATTCCATAATGAGAACTAATGAAAGTCTGCAAAAGAAAAATAAATCCGCTTGGGTAATGGCTTATTAAACATGTGGAGTAACCAAATATCACCTTCACAATGAAGTCAACTCTGACTACCTAATTTAAAAATTCAATGTCTCTCCATCCCCCACACTCTGGACTCCTTTTAACTTGCTCTACTTTTCTTTTCTTCCACAGTATCTATCAATTTCTAATATACTATGTAATTTCTTATTATGTCTATGCTTACTGCCTCTCTCTCTCCACTAGATTGCAATGGCAGGGATCTTTGTTTTGTTCATGAAACTTTTGTTAGAATAGTGCTTGGAAATTGGACGGACTCAGTATCTGTCAAATGAATGAACAGTCAATTGGATCCATAAGAAGGACATCTGCTTTTTAATGTAACTTCTTTGCTGATAATAAAAGTCTATGTTGTAGAAAATTTGGAACATGCCAAAAACCATAAGAAATAAAAGAATTCCACCCAGAGATAAATGCTGTTACTGTTTTAATGCATTCTCTTTCCAGTCTTTTTTTCATCAAGATTTAGATTTATATAGCAGCTGCCATATTAAAGGCAACTTGGGTATCCTGCATTGCTGAAGGGGTTTAGGTAGGAGAGGCACTAAATGGACGGGGAGGAGAGAAACATGAAGCAGGACACCGTCAGAAAAAACTTTTTAAATACTTTAGATGAGAAATGACAAGGGTCTGGACAAGGCAAGTGGTGGGGATAATGCTGATGTAAATATCTGACAAACTGTAACAAAAGTGAGACCCAGAGCATTCAGTAGTACTTAAAAATATATCTTGTCAGGTTTTCTTTTTAAGCATTATTCTGAAAACTGGCATTGTTATAATGTTAGAGAGAGTGAAATGGGTATTCTTGTTATTGATCAGATAGAGAAAATCCTTGTGGAGAGTATTTTAGCAATTTATAACAAGAGCTTTAAAAATATTTACACCATTTGACTTCACAATTCCATTCCTTGGAATCTAAACAACATATTGAAAAAGTTTCATGTACAAAGATGTACAAGACAGCATTATAATTACTAAAAGTAGAAACAGATGTGATCAATCGGTTAAGCAAACTATAATTTTTATGTAATGGCATAAAGCCATTGAAATTTATATATTGAAAGGATTTATAAGAACATTAAATTTGTTTAAGCTGTATTACATAACATCAGCATAATGCAAAAATAATTTCAGGTTTGACTATACCCATTAAAAGAAAGACACGAAAAAAAATCTTAAATGAGACCAACCAACTAGTTAATAGTTGTCTTTCTGTAGTAAAACTTAGGTTACTTAACTATTTTTTATTCATTTAAACAACTTCTCTGAATTTCCTCATTTTCCCATGAGCATACATTTCATTTAGAGTAGAATCTACCATTTTAGATATGTGGACTTAAGTTCCAATAAACAGTTTGAGCATGGTGGCAATACTCACCAAGGCCGACACCAGCAGATGGGTCAGAAGAACTACAAGAAGAACATACCACTTTTTCTTCTCACAGCCATCAAAAAACACAATGCCCCAGAACATGTGCAGCAACATGATAACTAGAGTCATGAAAGCTGAAAGACAGTCATTCATTAGTGCCCAGTCATACAGACAATAGACACCAAGGCCCACTGAACACTTGGTCATGACACACAGGCTCTTGGGGTACACCATAGCACTGTGAGAGCTTAACTACGATCTGACAGAAGCAGGACCCTGACACACACTTGCTCAAACGTCAACTTTTGAAGCAACATTTCTGAACAAGGGGTCAGCTCTGTAGCAGTTTCTCTAGAATGTGAACCTGTTAAACAAAGTCAACTTGAATCTGGCTTTCAAGGAGTTTCTCTGAGGAAGGCAAAACAATTATTGTGATTTCTAATCAGCTTTTTGTAAATTAGCCTTCTGCACTAACTAAGAGAGACTTTTCTCAATTAAAAGGAATATCTTTGGTTTAAACAAGTCTTTTCACTAAAGTGCAATTTCTCCTTGGATTTTTTTTTCTTTAAAGGTAATGGAATAAAAATATTAAACATTACAATAATTATCTAAGATTCTTCTTAGGCAACTGAAACTGAATTTGATTAGCACACACAGGTTTTCCAGTGAAATAGTGTATGTATGTGTGTGTGTGCGCGCACGCATGCGCCTGTGTATGTCCTGGATAACATTTTTCACTTAAAATGGTTCAGTTCCACATATTCTGAGAGTTTTAACATGGAAAAAAAAAAAAGGCATACAGATTTCCCTTTTTGGCCATATAATACGATACCATTAACCACCAGTCTGGCAAAAATTCAAGTCTGACTATTCTCTTTCACACTGCTGGTAGGAAAACAATCTAGCATTACCTAAGAAAGTTAAAAATTTTCATACTCTATTTCACTCCAGCAATTCCTCAGCTAGATCTATATGCTGAAACCTTTAGTTCTTGGATCAACAGATAATTAGCACTTGAGAACTTGTCAGAAATGCAAGTTCTTGGGACCCACCCTAGACTTCCAGAATAAGATACAACAAGCCCAGCGAATCTGTTTAAACAGCCCTCCAGTTGATTCTGAGGCACAAATTTGAGAACCACTGCTCTAGAAAAATTTTCATTATTGTACAAGGAGATACATACAAGAACATCTACATTAGCACTATTTGTAATAAGAAAATAAATGTCCATCACTACCAGAATGGATGAACTACAGTGTATACACACATGGATCTACAATATAAATGATCTTAAGAACATAATGTTGAATGCAGGGGAGAAAAGCATACTGTGGAAAAATGACTATTGTTTAACTTATACAAAGCCAAAAACATGTAAAACAATATTAAAAAGACATTAACTGTTGTGGTTGGAGGGAAGCAAGTTGTTGCATCTAGTAATAGCATGCCATCATTGCAGTAAATGATGGTAAACACTTCAAAGTAAAAGAAGGATTTTTTTTTAAACTCTGGGACAATGACAGACTAAACTAAAAGGATGTCTATTAATCCCAGTGACGATCTTGAAAAGTGAAGCTGCCCTGAAGACAGATGCCTGGTGATGTGATGGTATAGAGTTGAGACCACTGAAGACACTCAGGAGTTAAGTTAATGTCAGAAAAGACCAGGGTAGAAACTGCAATCTACACAGGCACAAATGTTCACACTCTAAGGTGTTTCTAAAACCTAGGTTTCAATCAAATGTCAAGAGATAAAAATGACAACATTAAAGTGTCATCTATTTGTCAGCTCATGTTTCTCTCTATGGTGGGTAAAACACAGTCTAATGGAACTCTGCCCAATCCTTTCAGTTTAATGTCTTATTAACACAATATCTAAAGGAGATCCCATGAACATTTATTAAAACACTGTACATTTCTACTTGATTGTCTATTTAGTGAGCTAACACCAATTTCTGGCTGACTTCCATGGTCATCATAAGCTTTTACTATGACAATGTGCTATTCAGAATACTCGAATTTATTGTTCATTCTCTCTGCAACTGGTTAGAGGTCCACCAGAACCTGAGACGTGGATATCTAAACTATCCTGCCACATACATATAGCTAGAGCTACATACATACTTGATCCTTCTACATACATACTTCTAATAAATGGAATGAACTCCAACTAGAAATGAAGATTTGCTTATAGTATCTCTAGGGTACTATCTTTTAATTACAAAACCTTTCTCATTTCATGTTCCTAAATATAAAATTCAAACAGTTCTTCAGTGAATCTAACCCTAAAATTTGCTTTGTTCTAACATTCTTAAAAGTAGAAAAAGAAAACTTCTCTAAATTAACCATAAGAATATCAAAATTAGTTTATAACCCTGATTAATACAAGGAGCTTCCATAATTTCTAATGTTTTAGAACATTAATCAGAAAGCTGAACAATTCTATTAAGTACTACATATCCTTTTGTGAAACTGTAGCTGTCTAGTTTGATAATGGACTTCCTCTTCTAATAATCTTTTAAATCAAATTCTCTTGGTACAGAATGTTTCAATCTAATCTATCTCTAAGCAAAATGTTTCAGTGTTATCTTTAAGAGACTACATTTACTGTTTGGTTCTTTTATCCTTCCTAAATATATCCCAAGTGCTCTAGTACAAAGATTCATAAATATCCTCATTTTTACATTTGTCTCTTTCTCCTCCATTCCTGATATCTACTTTTCTGTCCCTGCAAACAGCCTAAGTTAGCAACTAATTCCAATATTGGATTCCGCCAGCCTGGAAACTGCTATTATATGGCTTTCCCTGACAACTTCACAGTATCTCTAGCCATGCGAGAGACCAAGGGCTGCTGCTGGGTGGTGACAGCAACAGACAGAGGAGGACTTTCCAAAGCCAAAGCTCAGCCGCAGCTGCTCAAGAGGCAGGATGTGATTACCAATGGGCTTCTGGCTTCTTTTTCCAAGTAACAAGGAGCTAAGGTATCAAAGTTCTGTGAATTTCTGCATTCTTCCTGGCTGAAAAAATCCTCTGGATTCCTGAGAGATCTTCCGTGACCCAAACCAACTAGGAGTCAGGCCGTAGAACTAAATTAATGTTTTTAAAAATGACTTCCTTATAATAGAGATTTAACTTTAAACTTTTGCTTTAAAAAATGTAAGAGTATTCTGTTTATCATTAAAATGCATTTAATGACAAAACTGATGACATATGATACCATATGGAGTATCCTTGTGTCATAAGCAATATAGTTAGTTGTGATAAGATTAAGATTCTAATAAATTCAGAAAAGGATAAGAATTGCAGAGTAATCTCTATTGTCTATCATTTTCTCTGTGTGATTAATAAATGTTATATTTTCTCTACTACTGTAGCTGGTAATGTAATTATGAGATAGTCTTGCTTATAAAGAGCTGTCATTTAAAAGTCTAAACATTTAACAAACTGCCACATTAAAGAGATTATACTTTAAAATATTGTGGGGGGAAAAGTGAATAAATAAAAAATGAAGCTCACTGGGTTACAAGGATTTCTTCTCACATTCACAGGTCTAAAGGTTGTGCTTTGCTAAACTAAGGCTGGGTTTAGCTGGGTGGCTCTGCTGCAGGTGGCTGGTACAGCCGGTTTTGGCTCTTCACTGCAGGCCTGGCCTACGTCTGCTCTATACATGTTCATCCTGGGGTCCAGGCTAAGTGAGAATCAACTATGTGGGGTATGTTCTCATGGCACATGACCAGAGCCCAAGAAGGCAGGCAAACCAATCAAGTGCTTTTTAAGCCTCTGACTTATACCATGTCCACTAATTGGCCAATTCAAGTCACATGACTAAGCTCACAGTCAGGGGCAGGGAAGTACATCCTGGCCATCATGAGGCCACGGAAGGGTGTGGATGTATAATTCTACTGCAGAATAATGATAATTGGGACAAAAATGGAATCTTCCACATTCCTCTTTTATTTTTTTGTCAAGCTGAGTATTCCTTTCCTGAAATCTTACCCCATAGGACACAGTTTCTAGTTCTTTCACCATACTAACAATGTCCTATACCAATTTTAGTTCTTCCATATTCCTGTTAAGTCAGAATGTTCAGAACTGAACACAATACTCTACATGTGGTCTGACCTGTACTGATCTTTCCTAGAGAAAGGCTTAGTAATCTTTCTGTGCTGAGTTACGCCAGCAGCAGCCTCATATCTCTCATACCTCTACTGCATCTCTTGACTGCATAATTTTTCTCTTGTGCTTGATTAAATCTCGTGTTGTTTTGTACAGTAACATGCTGTACAGGCTTGTAGCCTAGGAGCGAAAGGCTATACCACATAGCCTAGGTGTGTAGCAGACTACACCATCTAGGTTTGTGTAAGTGTACTCTGTGATCTTCGCACAATGACAAAATCTCCTAGTGACACATTGCTTAGAATATATTCCCCTAAGTGGTATATGATTGTATTCATTCTTTCAGTATCTACTCAAATAGTACTTCCTCCATAAGCTGTGCCTAGCTTTCATTTTTTAAAACAAATATTTATGTCTATCTAAAAATGAATACTCCACAAGGTGCTGGGGATATTACAGTGAACAACACAGTCCTTGCATTTATAGGGCTTAGCATCCAGCTGGCGAGAAAGACATAAACAACTACGCAGTTGGCCAATTAATTACAACTGCAGCAAGCACTACAAAGGAGAAGGACAATTCCAACTGAGCATGGGTTAATTTGTCTTTTGTATGCTCACGGTTCTTCCTCATCATAGCATTTATCATGCTTTACTGTAATTAGCTGTTGTCTTTATTCCCTACCATGAGTGGAAGGTATAGATCTTAACTGAGCTGTATTTTCATAGCTTGGTATAACTCTTATTGAATAAAAATGTTTAATAACTATCTGTGGAATAAATGATTAAATGAGCAAGTAGAATTGATCAAATACTAAGCTAATGAGCCAGGGTAAGACTTAAACTTATGACTATAATTTCCATATTTTTGCCTCTATATAATGTCACCAAGAAATGGTAATGACACTAATAAAAGTTAATGCTAGCTTACTACCTAACTACAAATAAAAAACAATGAATTTATATACATATTTATAAACTGTGCCTAACCTGTAACATGAAAACCCCTGTGCATACAGTGTACATCTTACTCACACTTACACATATACTAATTAGTGACTCCCATATTTATTATTTTGATTACTCAGGCATTCATAATGGAAATGTTAAACATATAAACTTATAGATTTAATTGAAAAATTAAAAATGAGCTCATGCATAAATGGTAAGAATAGCAGTTAAAATTAACACACACAAATATATTAAAATTAGGAGTGATTTTTAAATGCAATAAAAAGTAATTTCTTTAATGTATAATTCAAAGTTTATGCTCCAAAGAATAATGTTATAACAAATAAGAAAGTTTTACACATGATAAAGTAACAGCTGTTCTTTGATCTATAGGTACATATTTACAGCACGGTTAGCTTGCCATCCGAACCTAGCTAAAGGCATTAAAATATTTTATTTTCTTTAAATTTCCTCATGAATTTGTAGAAATTACAAAACCAATCCTCAAATTGCTAGCATCTCTTTCACTTTCTTTCAAAGAATCATTTTAAGTTAGTCTTATGAAAAGAGCCTAGCTCACTGAAGGGAGTTAGCACCATCTAGTGAAAGAAGCTGGCAAAAAAATAAGTTCCATTGGGAGAATGCTACTTCAGAACCAAAAGAAAATTGCTAATGTAGCAGTTATTATAGACCAATTTAAGAAAATGGAGAAAATAGCAGTAATATCCCTTCCTGATTGTTTTGTTCACTTATATGGGACTCTACCAGAATTTGGCTATTAATATTATATTTGTTCTAAAAACCTGACACTATTATAATCATTGAAAAAACTGCTAGAAATATTCTAATTATGGAACGTTTAAAAGGAAGATAATTTGCTGTGCTGGGAGCACCACTAAGTGCGGCCCATTAATACACTTTCCTGTCCTCTAGCTTGTAGCCAGACGTAAAGCGCCTAGACTCCATTCTGTAGACCTTGGAAAGCCATTACACATTTTTGTATAGGGAAGATTAGTTTTGGTGGCTGCGTATAGGATGGAGTCACAGGGAAAGTGTGTTGAAACAAGAGTAACCAGTTGGGGGCTGACAATAGTAATCTAGACAGGAGATGAAGGCCTGAAGTGAAATGGTTAACAAGTTTCCAGTGGGTTTGGGGATCACTAAAACATACAGAATGTCTCTAAACCTCTGCAGCGATTTTTTTCTAATTTGGTCATACCTTATTTCTTTTCTGTTATTATCTTAAACTGTCTTGAAACAATCACTTTTTTTGTCTTACTCCCTCTACTAGCAGGTAAGCTCCTTGAGGATGGAAATTAGTATGGATGCTAAATAAATGATCTCATTGAAAGAATATGTGCATGGGGGTCACTTATTTCAATGATATAAGTTATACAAATAACAACATACAGTGGGGTTTTTTAAAAAACTACTTTTAAGATTATTGATTGTGGAATTTAGGAGAAATCTTGTTAATTATGTACATTACCAATTCTCAACTGTGTGATCATTGGATCATGATAACAATTTTTAGCTGATGGATGAAAAAGCACTCTGAAATGAGTTGGTCCTTTTATACTGCATCTTTGGATAAAAAAGTCAACTCATCTATTATCATTTTTTCCTCTCGATTTCTTTTTAAATGAATATAGTATGATCTATTGTTAAATCTTCAAAAGCAAGAAAACTAAATATTAATTTTCATTCAGATTCATATATGAAGGTAAAATCTTCATGTTTTACCTTTAAAATAAAACATATAGATGGGTTGTTTATTCCTTAAATGATACATATATGTTTAAGTATACATTTTTAGATGTATGACATTACTTCACATTAAGCAAGAATCATTTTCCTCCTCTCAATTTCAAGATTAAATCATATTGCCTATCCCCCAAAGGGGCCAAGATGACAAGTTAATTAGGACTTATACTAAAAATAAATATAAACTAATAAAAACAAAAAAGAACATATGGCCTACAAAAATTCACTTGTAATATATCAACTGTACAGCACATTGTTAGCATAATAAAATAAAAAGAAAATAAATTTTATACAAGCTAAATTCCACTCTAAATCCTAAAATACTCTAACCAAATCTTTTATTTTCCCAGGCCCTCTGCTTTGAGGTATCCAATAGCATTTTGCCTTTAGAAGGTATAACATAAATTTCTATTCACTTGAATTCCTAAGCCAAGGAACTCCAATAAGAGTGGTCATTCACATTGGAAGCCTGAACACTCACAGCTACCAAGCACATACCTGAATTTAGGAAGAACTGGGGAGAGTCTCCATGAATGCCCACTGTGCCCGGCCCCAACGAGTTAGACAGGGTATTTACAAAGGAAAATACTCCACTCATGATTCCAAAGCCCAAGCCAGAAACTAAAAAAGGAAGACAAACACTGTTACGTCATACTTTTCATGTTATGGTTTCTCTTCAAATCAAATTTCTAAGGACTAAGGAATACTATTTTGTTAAAGGGGAAAGGGTGAACATGCTGTTGGAGAAACGGTGGAAAGCTGGCTCAGGAAAGTCCAGTGCTTGCTTACCAATGACTCAAGTGAGAAGAAGGGAAGAGGAAAGGAAATGAATAGTGGAATGTCGCAGAGAAATGAAAAAGGACAGAAAAAGGTCTAGAAAGGCACAGAAGCAATAGGTGAGACAGAGAAGGATATAATGTTGAAGTTCTGACTTTAGTTTATGATAACAGAATCTGCAAACTTAAGTTTGAAGGCTTAGAACTGGGAACTGCACTTGAGGGGAGACTGTGCATTTTAAGGGGTGATCCCTGGGCCAAACTGGGGTGACTCAACTTAAAGATCTAGATCCAATCCTTCAAACATAATTCTGAAAGAAAAATATGCAGAGGTATTAACTGTATCAATATGAAAAGTCCTCCTAGTACAGCCAAAGTCATGGTAACCACCCAGAGAAGGTAAGAGTAACCTCACTTAGAAACTGTTAACTGGAGTGTAAAAACTCAACTTTCAAACATGGCTAATATTTAATATAAACATACAGATGCAATCGCTTCCTTTTACATAAGGGCCCTAGAAAGCTGGAAAAATAAACAATGTACACCAATAGACCAGGGCAGTAATAATATACTATTTGATATCTATAAAGATATAAAAGATAAGAATAACTTTTATGTCTGATTTTCTTCTTAATGACACCATGCAGTTCTAACTTACCATAGGCCAACAATCGCATAGAGGGTGCTGTCTCATCTGGGTTTATAACCTTCAAACCCTCATTGGCTTTTCTAAAATAAAATGATACAATTTTTTTTAAAAAGTAGTATATCAAGAAAAGACACAAGATTATTTCTAACTCGAAATACTTCTTGAGGCTTTTGATGAGGTTATACTCTAAACCTAAGATCCATTTAAACAAAAACCCAGCAAATTTTCAACTACCTAAATTCAACCCAAATTTCCAACCCACTTTTGCCTCTTATCTGACTTTCACTTAAGAGAGAAAAATATAAGTAAACAAGCCATCAGGGAAAAAAGCAACATTCTATTTTCTGAGCTCAATACTTAATATCCAGTGGCATCTATCATTCTGAATTTTTTACTCTTTCTAAAGAACTATATCTTCAATCCCACTTTGTTATTTTTTCTTCCACCTGGGCTATACTTATTCTGCCACCCTCCCTTCTAGCTTCTACTCTGTAGAACCTCAACTGTACTCATTCTTCTACTTCAGGCAGCAATTTCTTAAATAAACCACCTTTATCAATGACTGGTAATCAATCACTAATGTCTCCTTACACTTAAATCCTACAATACTGATGGTCTGAACTCTCATATGGGTACATATGCATATGGTCTTCTGATTCTAAAATATTTTACACATTTGTTTTATATTCCCAATCATGCGTTGAGGGAGAAATAATCAGGGGAGAATAAAATTCTACTCTCAGAAAAGGAGATAAATGAATACCTGAATGAAACATTAGAATACTGCTTAAGAAGATATGATCTTCAGAGTGATCATATGTGTACTTCTGTTGTGGACAATTCACAAACTTACCAAGAGTCCCTGGCCCCCATGACAATGTGTTAGAAATGTAAGGTGTGGCTGGTCAGTTCTACTATCATCACTATTACTAACCCTTGTTGGCTAGAAATTCTGCAACAATGATCTTGACTAAAAGGATATATACATTATATTTACTACAAATATAAATATCATTAAAGGCAATGAGGAGTTCAACCAAAATAGTAATAAGCAGAATGAAAAAAGTCTTTTGTTTTTCTAGACTCAAAAGAAACAATTTGCCGTTTTGGTGCTCTCCAAAATTTGGTAACATCATTTGGTAGAAAGAACATGAGCCAAAAGTTAAGTGACTGTCTATCTTCTTTCTCTGTAGTAGTCACCAACTAAAATATCCAATTTTCCTAAAAAATCAACTTACCTGTCACAGGAATGTGGTTAAAGGCTAATTAAAGCTTAGAAGCATAGATAATAATAATAATCTCCATCAACAAATGGGTATAATGGTATAACAGAATCAGTAAGTTTGGGAGGATTTCTGTTTCATATAAATTGCTCAGCAAGAAATAAAAGATGTTGGTTACTTGGTATGGCAAAGTACTGCTATCGCAAATATATTAAATACATAAACTCAATAGTTAATAAACTTCCTCGTTCTACATTACGAGCTTGTGGGAGGAAAGGTCTATGGCACTAATAGTTCTCCATGCTAAAATTAGGAAGTGAAAAAGCACACAATATCATCAGTTTCTGGGTTCCTGACAGAAGGAGCACATGACTGATAATGTAAGGGATGGTGTTTTTAATATGGCCATTTTACTGAAGCAGAAAATTCTTCATTTGCATTTATTAAAGTTCCCAAGAACAAAAAAGAAAAAGCCCAATTTAAAATAAACTCTGAAAAACTACTGATAAATCATACCATCTCTTTCTCATTTGTTATGACTCTTTTTTGTATGTATATGTAAGAGGGATAGTACCAAGGAAAATGCATATAAATATACCATTTTAGAAATTTAAGAAAATAGGCATTCCTTTTAATAAATAATAGCAATGATTATCTTAACATTTTTCTAAACTGGAAGGTTTTCTAAAATTACCAAATATTTATGGTATCGGCATTACGAGACAAAATTGAATTAAACTGCAAAAGCTTCAATCCAAGCCAAAAAAATTCTAATGTATGTTTTAGGCAATGTACAAGACCATAACTTGGGTTTTTAAAAAGAAATTAATATAGAAAAGGCTATCACTGTAGCTACTGGACAATTTCTCATAGCACAACTCTTCGCTAGGCTGAAACTTACAATTCGTTCATTCATTCAGGATGAACTACTATTCCTAAGGTATGACCCATAAAATAAATTTATATTAGACTGCAATGATAAATATTTTGATTCAAATCCATATATGTAAAAAAAAAAAAATACTGGTGCAAACGTTCCACATTTTCATCTTAGCATCAAATTCAGATAGCAAAAGTTTGATTAAGTACTTTAAACTTAAAAATTCAAAACCTACTTTGGCAGTAGAATAGTTAAAATATTGATTAAACCGAAGTTCCTATATTTGAATGTAGTGTAGTATAAAAGAGGAACTTAAATGTATCTCTATGAATGTTAGACATGAATGAAGTATTGTAACGACTTGTTTTAACATATAACTACATAACATCCAACATTTCAAAAATTTGCCAGAAAATATTGTACAATATTCCAAAGGCCTGTTAAAGATGTATTTTGCAGAGGCAACCAAAGACACCTGTTAATACAAATGCATCCCACTATACTGTCTGCCAATTTCCATAGGTCCTTTTGGAGGTGTAAACATGGTTTTCCCAGAAAGCCAAAGAGGCTACTCTGAACTTACTGGCATGAGAGACTGCAGACTGAAAGCTATAATTCCTTCTGCATGTGGCCATATTCTCTCATTGTCCTCATTAAAAATGTCAACCAATGTTCAGTGTGTAGCCCTTTGGAATCACAGGTTAGTGCCAATAAAAGTTGCACTGCAGTTGGGAACCGTGAAGAAACAAGCAGATACCCATGAAGCCACTCCAGATAAGTCTGGTTTTAGAACCTACAGTACTAAAGGGTTACTAAACCCATGTTCTAAACTGTGAAAATCTATTCAAAATTAAATTTGTTTCAAAATTAGAACTATCATGTGAAAATGTGAAACCAACACAAGCCAATGATATTGCTGACAGGAAAACCCAGAGCAACCTGAGACTGAGTGGTTAAGAGCAGGAGTCCCCAGATCCCGGGCCACGGATCTGTACTTATCTTTGGCCTGTTAGGAACTCGGCTGCACAGCAGGAGGTGAGCGGTAGGTGAGTGAAGTTCTTCTTTCTGTATTTGCAGCTGCTCCCCAGCACTAGCATCACTGCCTCAGCTCCACTTCAGACCATGAGGCATTAGATTCTCACAGGAGCACCGTTCTCTGGTGCCAAAAAGGTTGGGGACCACTGGTGAAGAGTACAGTGCCCAGTCATGGGTTGGGTGGGAAGGGCTGCTGCTCTGCACTACTTCAATCACAGCAGGTACTCTGAGTACAGGTAAACTCCAGGCACTGACAGAAAGGTCTACTGACATAAAAGAACAGAGACTGGAAAAACTTCTGAGGGTCAGGTGAAGAAATGAGCAATGTTTAGCCATGAGAGAGACAGGATGACTATTATTTGTCAGTGTGGCTCTACAGTAGGGCAGAGGTCAGAAAGAGGGAGATTTTGATTACTTAATAATTCCTATAGTTAAAATTAAAATCTGGAATGGTAATAGCTGCTGCATACTACAGACATTCAATCACAGATGAATGTCCATCTGTTAAGGATATTGTATTCCTATGGAAACTTAAATGTTATTTTTTATATTTGTTGGTTGCTTTTTAATATTTCCAAGAATAGAAATATCATTTTTAAACTTTTTCTAAGACATGACTTTCACTTGTAAGCAGTGACTTCATGGTTTTCGATTGTAATTTAAATTATTTCATCATTAAATTTCAATATCTGTTATTAAAAGCAACAAGTAGAAATACTGAAAGACCAGCATATTGGCAAGAACAAATTAACAGTTTATTATAAGAGATACTGTTGAGGTTCTATCTTGTTACATCCATGAAATTCAGGGAGTGGTTTAATTATCTCATTTGCCAAAAAGGAAAAGAGCACATTTATCATTCTACAGTCTCACTATGTAATCAAAGCCAGTCGAGCACATGACTGCCTGAAAGAAAATATGGTTCCAAGTTCAAGCCGTGTTGCAAATCAGTGGTTTCATGTGAGTTCCTCATGGATCCTACAGATGACCTATTTTCTGGCCTAAAGTCCCTATAGGGAACTCATGCCCATGGCTTTTTAAAAATGTGTTTTTCTATCACAGATGTGAAATTACATGAAATATCACAAAATGAACCCCATTTTTCCTATTACAGTCAAAAGAATGGTAGATATAATCTCTATAAGAATTATTTATTTTAGTCAAAGGGAAGCTGATATAAATTCTACGGTAGAATGTTTTTTGTTGTTTCGATGATTATTTCTTTAATTTATTATTCTTCATGGCACTTACTATCTTCTAATATATGATGTGTTTTCTTGTTCATTCATTTATTGTCTGTCTCTTTCTGCTATAATATAACCTCCACAAGAACAGAAATTGTCTTTTAATAATGATATATACCCACTATCTAGAATAATGCCTGGCATTAAGTAAATTCTCAAGAAATACTTTCTGAATGAGTAAATAAAGGAGGGAATGTTTACAAGTTAAAATACTCAATATTTTCAGGCTGGAAATTTACCAATCCCTTGGCCTCAAACTATGTAGGAAGCATGGGTCTTTGAATACCACACTATGTTAATGATTCAAACTACTAAAATGTAATTCAAATATAACAGAAAATAGGTAAACAAATATTTAACTTACTTTAAAAGTCTATAATATGCAAACCGAAACATTTCTTGGATAAGGACTGAGACTAACACGCCAAATATCAGTAGATGTTTCTGTACTGGTCCATCTTTGCTGTCAGTAATGCTTCCTGCCATGAACCAGACAAGGGAGGAAAGTAGTAGAGAAAGCAACCAGAAGAAAGCTCTGAAAATTAAGAAAAAAACAAAAGTTATAAGTAAACATAAAAACATATTAATAATGATTTTAAAGTGTGTGTGGGGGTGGGAGGGAACCACCTGAGAAGGAACAGATTTCCTGACTCTTAGTAAGGAAAAATAAACAAAAAAATATCATGCCCTGAATCATGTGATGCTCTGAATCAACTGTTCTTAATCAGTGGTGAATTTTCCCTGGTGAGATTAACATGCATTCCAAAAGGAATTTGGACTTTTCCTAATAATTATGCTTTTATCAGTGACTCTGCTATTTGTAAGTACATCTGCAGAATACCTGTCAAGAACCATCTAGCTGGAAACTTGATTATTTGTTACTCTTCCTACTTAATGCTTTGCCTGTTGATACGTAAATGTATGTCTTTTCCAGAAAAATGTTTACATCTCTATTAACAGAGTAATGATTAGTATAAAATCCAGAAGATAAAAGCCTGAGCTCTGATCTAGATTAGTTAGTTTTCCAGGCCTGGATTTTATAACATTCTTGTGGACTTTAATGATTATAACAAGCTTTACAAACCTTTTGCCCAAATCTCTCATTGCTTTTAAAATGCCACATGTGATGCAGCACTTTCAATATAGTTGTGAGAGGTGAAGAAGCTCAGAAAAGGTGGACATCACTGGCCCACCATGGCTGTTTCTCCTGGTGTCAAGTGAGACTCAAGGGTGGAGGGGACTGTGGGGAAGAGCCCAATAAGAGCTGCCAGACAAATGAAAACAGGGATTATAACCACATTCACCACCAGAGTCCGGTATTTACCGAACTCCTTCAAGGAAACGCACTGACAGGTGCTTCGGGTTCTACACAGGCATCCTTTGACTGTACACCTGAATCACCTCGGGAGCTTAAAAAAAAAAAATCCGTAGCCCGAATCGCACCCCATAGACATTCCGATTCAGTTGATCTGGGCTAGAGGTCGGCTGTTTTAAAGCTCCTGATGCCCAGGTGCTAATGGCTCTTAACTCCTTTGGGATTACAGACACCTGAGAAAATGTAAGGGAAACTAGGGATCCCCTCTCCAGAAAAAAAAAAAATGCATATTTTAACTTACCCACAATATTTTCATACAATTTAAGTGGCTTCACCACTCACTATAGCCCACCACGGACCGTAAGCAGAAACTCCGGAGTCAAGCACCTGGGTTTTCTGAAACCCACAGTGTGGGCTCCTTTCCCAGTGCCCGCCCTCTGGGGTCAGGGGGCTCTAGTTCTCCCACCGACCCTCGGAGGAGGGCGAGGAGTCCCAGGGAAGAGGGGGCTCGGCCTTCCCCTTCACGACCCTTCTCTCCCCTCCAAAGTCCAACCGGGTGGAGCTGTTTGGTGGGGACGCCGGGGGTCGCCGGGGGAAAGGAGCCCCAGGCCCGGGTTCCCCGGCGCAGGCGTCTCACCCGACAATGAGGAAGATGATGCGCAACGGCTCTGCAGCGATGGTGAAGATGTAGAGGGCGAGCGCAGGCCCGAAGGCAACGAAGGCGCAGCCGAAGAACACGGCCGCCGTCATGGCGACCGCGGGAGGCGACCCCTGGCCTGCGGAGACGCGACGTGCGTC